TTTCGAATGAAATTAGTTGTTTAGCCATATTTGTAATACTTTCTATGTCTATTACAAAAGTTGGTTAAATAAGAAACACTTATAAATTTATAATGAATATGGACTACAATCGATTGTGATTTTAACTGCCACGTTAACCCAACGGCGGTTAGCACAGTGGACGTTAAAGATTCCGGGGTTGATTTCTGGTAGGATGATTTTGGGGTGCGAACCTTTCAAAATTTGTTTCTGTCTTTTTGTTGCTGGTAGTGTACTCGTCACAATCAACCCATGGCACGTCCCAGTACGGTGCTACTCAAGGGGTTTTCCAAGTATTGCGCACTTTCTTCGACATATAGGTTTCATCTCGATGTTTTCACCGGTATGAAATTCACAAATGTACGTACGTACGTTAGAAGAAGTCATAGGTAGATGCCGCCGCAGAAGTTCGAAACGTCGACTACTCAATTAAGTAAGGCTAGCATGACCGAGCGCGACTTGAACGAGAGCGACATAAAGCGCGAGATACTCCTATTCTCGTGCTAGCCTTCCAGATGCGATCAATGTCCCACGGGTCTACCAGAGCTAGTACTCTTGCATAGTTGATGAAATCCCTTATTATTTATATGAGATAAGATAAATTTATGATATTATCATTTTAAACTCAAATAAACTTTATTTCATAGGTAACCTCTTAAAGATTCCCCTATTATTAAGGGTAACCTATCACAAAGTCGAAATTTTTTTTGTACACGGATAAACAAAATAAAAAGGTTTAAAAGAAAAAACATTTTCCTCTCAAAATTACTTTCGAGGTTACGAAATTTCGACCAAACGTTATTAAAGAAAAATGTCATTTCGGACTTGTGATAGGTAACCATTAATTAAATTTTTTTTAATTGATATTCAATTATTTTTTGTGAAATTACTCCACTAGTTTGTTATAATTATTAATACAAAGATCGAACACTCAGAAAAAATTGCTTTCGATCCGGTTTCGATTCGAACCGACGACTTTTTGCATACCGTGCCAGACGTTATACCAGCTAAGCTCGAAGTTTGAATCCGACCGGATCGAAGGAATTTTTTCTGAGTGTTCGATCTTTGTATCAATAATTAGGTAACCATTATTAAGTGAAGGGTCTCTGCCATATTAACATTAAACCAAATTGATTTCTCATAGCTCTTTACAGAACAGAAAACTCGTTTGATCCTTGAATATTGGCCACAATGGGTGAACTATACGCTAAAATTTATGTAACTGAAATACGTAGGTAATTACCAACGTTATAAATAAAATAAAAAATATTAACAATGAGAAAACTCACTTTAAAGTCACATTGTGCATAATGATTTTAGCTCACGATGTTCTGGGGCCCAAGTCTACTTGAAACTACCACATCTCAGTAGATTATATTGTAATTATGATAATATATGTTTTTTTTTTTTAATTGTGGTGTTCTATTTCTATAACAGGCCATGGCAGAATATCAGCGAGGGCTATGTAATTGGCATAGTCCTCAAATGCTGAGTCATTGACCTTTTTGAAATAATTTTTTTGTTTCCTTATATGTTTTAATTTTTCTTTTTTCTATTATTATTATATTTTCCTATTTTTTCTACTTTTATTTATGAATGAATTATTGGATATTTTATAATACTTTGTATTTTATAATATATTTGGCATGTCAAATAAATACGATATTATTTTTAATCTGCTAAAATCTATTTGCAAGGGCATTTGACTCTCAATGAAGTTGAATGCTTCGATCATACATATACGAAGGTTGAATGGCACTGATGGCATCTAACGATCGATGTTGCCTTACTAAAACTATCATGGAAATTACTACGTATATCTTAATTTTTAACCGACTTCAAAAAAAAAAGGAGGTTCTCAATTCGACTGTATGTTTTTTTTGTATGTATGTTACGCGATAACTCCGGCCTGATTTTTGAACCGATTTTGATGATACTTTTTTGTTGGAAAAAGTATCTCAGTAATGGTCCCATTTAAATTTGAAAAAAATGTTCCGCCTCTAATGGTGGCAAACTATGTGGGATGAATGACTTTTGAGGTCGGTTTTTTTAGTAATCTATACTGAGATTATTATCTCGTTTAATCAATAAATTAGTTTTCAAATAAATGTATTTTTTTTAAGACAAATAGTAGAATACGTCATGGACTAGTCATTGAAAAACAGAATACTATAAAATTGCAATGGCCGATTGCTAGCTAGCAATCGGCCATTGCAAAGCCTTACTCTTAACTTGTAGTACAACACACACACCTACAAAATCCCGTCCTTGAAAATCTACCTACGAAATCTCAGTTGTATGAGACGATTTAAAACGGGGGGGCAAACAAATTTAAACTTGGCCCCCAGATCCATATTATAAGTTCATAATTCATACCTAATCAACCAAAAAAACGGGACAGCAGTTTTTTGCTATGCTAATAATGCTAAATAATTTTACTAAGGACCCCAGTCCATAGTAAAATTATTTAGCAGAAACGCCCTCAAATATCGCTCGAAAAATTAAATATTACAGCCACCAATAAAATAAATCTTACATCTATAGTCTCAACACTGTTCAGTCTTCTAATGACGACAAAAAAATCGAGGCATTGTTTATGGTGTGTGCTCAAAGGTACGCAATCTCACTTCACTACTATTATAGGTACAGTTGAGGCGGTTAATTCTTTACCCTTTCGGCATAAATCGATAAGAAATAATTTAGCTAACCAATGAAGATGTAACCATATAATGACGACACGTTTCAACAATAGTAGAATGAAGACAGTCTTTAAAATATCAAAAAAATTTACATTATCCGTTGGTTCGTTCCGTGGCTTAGTTGGTATAGCGTCTGCCACGGTATGCAAGAAGACGTCGGTTCGAATCCGACCGGATCGAAGGATTTTTTTCTGAGTGTTCGATCTTTGTATTAATAATTATAACAAACTAGTGGAGTAATTTCACAAAAAATAATTGAATATTAATTCAATAAAAATTTAATTCACATTATTTTTAAATTATACTAAAATAATGACAAATCTGTTCGTGTAAATCTTCTTCGTCGACTCTGACGTTTATATTTGTGAGGACCAGTATTTAGCGAGTGAGACAGCATTATGAGTGGCGTTGTACAGGTCCTCGCATGTGCAGGTGTAGGGACATGCAGGGCAGGACAAAAGATGTGCAATTGTCTGGGGTGAAACATCACACAGACATGCACTCTCCTAGCTGTAACCCCACCCGAGCATGCACTCCTTCCTTCGGCCGACTTGGGTCCGCAGCCTATTTAAGGACTTCCAAGTTTGCCAAGACAGATAATGCTCAGGAGAGAGGTGTTTCGACAGCGGGATGAGTGATGTCGTAGGGTATCTCTCCTTCCAGAGACTTATTCGGGCCTGGTTTGTTTTCCCGTCCAGAGGGAAAATGGGTGGACTCATTTTACTTCTTTAATGAAGCAGTGGTGACTTTTTAGCCTCTGTATTGCAAGCACGTGATGGTGTAATAAGTGCCACGGGTCAGTCTCTTTTTTTAAGTGTTCCAGTAGTTGTGGAAATGTGCGTTATATAAGGCATATCACAGCTACACGGAGGGAAAGTACTTCAAATATTGTAAATAGGACGTTTTGCCTCAAGGAGGCATTATTTTACTTTTAAAAGTAAGTAATAGTGCATTTAAAGACTTTCAAAAAGTTGCTTGCCTCATCTGGGAATAGAACTGAGTAAATGTGGAAAAAAAATATCCTGTATTTTTGTGATGCCGAACGAAAGGGTAAATTATAATGATTAATTACTTATAAGTAATATACCATTTTAATTTAACTACACTACTACTACACTACAATACTGAGACGGACAAATTCGCCTTTATGAAGGTAAACAATAAATTACCGCGATTATACATGCGCGTAACGCAACGTGAGGGGGAAAATTGGCAAAAACTTCTAGCAATAGTAAAATCTAGGGCAATGTAAAACCAACTCACTAGAATTATAATTGCGAAGTGAATAACGTGAAGATCTAATGAGGTTTAAAATGGACTTAACAGTGATTGTTTATTTGCGCTTTGTTGAGGAGTTGGTTTTTGCTATTGTTCGTAGCTTGCAAGTTATTTGATAAAAACATCAAGAATGTTCATGTCATAATAAGAACGTAAGTTCTTATTCTAAGGAAACTTTGATTATTATTCTCAGGGGGACATTTGCTGTCTGTTTCATATAATATAGCACATGAAAGAAAATATTGTCGTAACTCAAAATTGTGGCATTACGATAACACAATTTCAAAAAATAATGTTACAGAGGATGGATTTCAATTGATCTTTTAAAATTTTACTTCAAATTTATCGCGTGTTAATAAAATTTTGCACATTTTTATAATGTATATAAATATAAAATTTCCGTCAATTTTTCTCCAAACGTTACAAACACTTGTTACAGATGTTTTAATATACTTAAATCAATTAACTGCTTCCGTCGCCGAACGGTTACCATGCTGGTCCCAGAGCAGAGGTGCCAGGTTCCATTCCCGGGCCGGGCGAAATATTTGTATGGCCAACATTTATTTCTCTCGTGAGTTTGGATGTAATTTGGGGTTGTCAATGTGTATGTCCATGGCACCCGCGACTCAGGGTTTCCCCAGTCCGGGGCTATGAGTGTGTGAGTATGAGGGAATGAGCATGAGAATTTTGCGAAAATTTACTATTACGTCAATGGTGCTACATTACAAATGAGCGATATATTGGTTTAATTAAATATGTTTCTTTTTAATTTACCAATTGTGTTTTCTCAATTCCATAATTTTGAGTTACAACATTATTGTTTTTCGTGTGCGATATACGATCAACGGTTCTTCGCCCCTTTACTATCAATTTCAACTTTAAAACAATAACGAATATTGTGCAATGTTCAACGTGTAAAACCTAACGGAGTGCTGACTGTACAGAATCGGAGAATATATTATGGTAAGTATAAATAATATACTTATTACAAAAATAAAATCTTACCATTATGAGGTGTATGGTTTGGTACGGCGCCTATGTTGGAACTAGTGCCTTTGTGGAACATCCCGTTTTGCTGCCGGAAGGCTTCCAGTTCCGCTGAAATATAACGTAAATAATTGACCATAAGCTTCATAACTAAATAGCAGTGAACATTGAAGAAGTTTCCTGTGACTTTCACGAAAGAAACGCACTGCATTTGTAGGGAGATGCTAAAATGTGTACTTTTAGGCCGGCCACATACAGTCTGAATCCCCTTCGAACCCTTTCGAAATATCGATTCGAGATTGCGTATATACATCATATACATACGATTATTTCCGCTCGGAATAACAAGATTCAGCTGAGAGACGCCAGGCATTGAGTCCAGCAGCTTGATTTTGATTGCCTCTCCCGATCGCAAACTGCGTCTTTTCCGAGTCGAACTGGCCGATCGGAAACTTTTGACTTTTCTGATCGGAACAATACTTGATTTAACTCACAAATTACAAAAATATAGTAGGAATCAGGTTCATCTTCTCGCTCAGAAACCCATCTGAATTCGAGACTACCCGATCGGACCGATTCCTATTTGAATCAAAATCAACACGCTGATGTTTTCGCAGCGAAAAGACGTACAGAATTTACTTTTTGCGGACCAATGGAGGACTTGCATTCGGAACGGCTGTTTCCGTGCGGAATTGCAAATGCACAAGCCACATATTGAATTTCGAATCGGATTTGTGTCATACTACTCGTAATGATAAGTCCGTGATTTGTATGGTTTTGCTGCCTTGGAATTCCGAGACGGAATTTCGAAACAGGATTCCGACGGTATGTATGTGGCCGGCCTACAGCCGTTGCTGACCTAAATAACGGAAATAAAATATACTGAACCAGTAATTGTATTACTGATTGAATATAATGATGTTTTACTACCATGATGTTCATTCATTCCTTGTAAATTACTCCACATTGTTTGCCCTAACTACTGCACGCTTGGCGGCTACTAGTGGGTCACAATAGTATATATTGTATGCCATCGATACGGTTACAGGACTAGTTTGTTAGAAAATATTTGACTGCCTCCGTGGTCGAATGGTAATCGTGCAGGGGAGGCCACGTTACTACTACCTGTAAGCGTTTTCCCCATATGGAAATAAATTATTTACTATCGTTTAATTTCTTTAACTGGACAGTGTTGTATTTTGACAATATTCTGTATTTACACTTTTTTGTTATGCTGTTTATTAAATTTTATGTCAACAATGATTGTATACATTAGTAAAGAAGTGATTATACGTACAAACTGATACCATTACTAAACAAAAATGGTACTTTTGAGAAATGGACATGAAAGTTTCTGAAATAAAGATTCTAAAAACGAGTTTTGTTTAGTGATGGGTATTGTTTTCAAAGAGCAATATATTGTACTGTGATAATATTAATAAAAAAAAAATTATTCACATATAAATAAATACTTTTATATTAAGGTAGTATGTTTAAACCACACATTAGGCTATCCTTGACTGAGTTTCATAACGAACTTGTAGGTGGATATTTGAAAGTTAGTTTGGCCTTATCTTCTGTGTAGGTAGCTATGGACTACTTGCAAATAGCTCTGCTGCTTTGGAATTTATCTATCTACGAAAACAAACCTTACAGATGTAACTATTTGAAGCACATTGCTGTACTATGTTAGAAACATAATTAAATACTTTAATACCATATGTGAAACAATTCTATATTTATTACTTATATGTTTTTGTGGCTAGTTTTGTTATTGTGCCTTGTAGTACTTAATTTTAGAACTGACAATATGGCATTTTCGAGATCCACTATAGCTCTGTCAAGGGATCTGGGTGAACTAGAGAGATTTATACAATAAAAGACAGATTTATATAATAAGATTCCGGGGCATATATTAAGATATCATTATCTAAGTTTAAAACTTGCATTAAAAGTGTTTTAATTGAAAAGTCATATTACAAAATTAGATAGAGTTAGATAAAGATGTATGGAAAGACTATATGGCTCTAAATTTCCCACAAATTAGATACAAAGTGTGTTCCATACTATTTACCTTATGTAAGTATATTTCAAAAGCACCACTCTAGTGTTTCTTGCTTGTTGCAAGTAGCTTAATGAGTAGTAGCATAAAAAATTCAAAGTGAACATTTATTTTACCTTACATGATAAGTATGTTCATGATTTTTAAAGGCAGATGTTAAACTAGATACTTTGCTGGTACATTGTTTGGCAACAACTACAGTTCACATTGTCCTTGCATCATTGAATAAAAATAAACCTACTAATAATACTTCATGAATCATAAAACCCCATGTAGCAGATTGAAGGTAAACATGTCATCTGGGATACAAACAAATGATACAGATTACATATAATTGGAGCTGCACTGGTCCACAATTCAATAGAATGATGTTGTAATTATTTATTACTAGCTGGTGCCCGCTTTGTCTGCTTAGAATAAGTACTTTGGATAGCCTACTGTACTACTCTTATTTGAAAACCTATTTGTTCTCCATACATACTTTCATCCCCTATTTTCAAAAAGTAGGCTTTGACCTTCTCCTAGGTTCTATCTATCTGTATACCAAAATCTATCTGTATAGCAGGGTCGGTGCCCTAACCTAGGTATACACTAATTGTACTATGTGCTATACAAATATACCTAAGCGAGGTAGTGAGTAAGTGGATACCATAGTGAGGGCACCGACTGTACACTTCTGAGATGATAGGACATGCATACATATTCACTTTTTTAGCATTCTCAAGTACCTTATGGAACCTAGGCAACTTAAGAGATTTATACTTGTCTACATTAATGTACATACCTCTAGCATCCATTAGATCTTTGTTCAGTCTTTCATTTGCCATTTTTAAAGCTGATATCTGGTCTAGCAGACATTTCAGCAGTCTGCTCCCAACCTGGCTGCCAGACAATTCAGAACCACTCTCAGAACTAGTATCAACCTCTCCATTGGCTGGTCTGGCCACATCAGGCAGACCTTGAACGCAAGGATCACTGTACCGCCGGGTGTTACTCACGTCATCTTTCTCATTTATATTCATGTCACTATTCGAGTTTGTGTCACCCACAGAGGTCACTATTGGCGGTAAACTCGTAAAATCCTGGCTATCGGTAAAATTCTTTGGCTGTTGATAGTTTAATGTACCATTAGGAGTGGTATTAGGAGTAGTTACATCTTCAGCTTTATGTTCACGGCGACGTCTCGGTCTCTGTACTTGCACACTCTTGTGTTGCATAAAGCGGTATTCTGGAGTGTAGACATGATTTGGGCTGTAGTATGTGGGCAGAGTAGGCAGCGACATTGGCTCCGCGCATCCGTACATTCCATATCGGTAGGGATCGAAGCCAGGCGCGAACTGCGACGTGTTCGGCCAATTCAAACCTAACATAGAAGAATCGTACATCTCCATACTGGGCGTCGACTCTTGTATATGATGCATACTCTTGTCTAGCCATTTCGATAGGTATGATGCTTTACTATTCCGAGTTTTCTTCCGCTTCCCGAGCGAACTATTGCTGTTTGAGCCATTCCCGTTCACCTGTTTTGGCGAAGTAGCCATTGAAATGAATACTTTAAATCTCACTATAATACTACAACAAAAATACACTGTAGTCCTGTGTAATGTTTATCTCATTTTTATTAATAACAATAAATATAAACAATTAACATTCACGTTCCACGACCTCATGAATAATAAATTATAAATCCATCGACTAACCGACATCCGACAGCACATAAACGAGATTGACGTTATTTTTGACACTGACGTTTATTTCTTTTTTTCTCTTTCTTTCCGTTAGGAACATAAAGGATGGAAAAAACAAAGGAAAACCTCCCATTTACCTACCATGCTTCGTTTGTATGTATATTGTTAATGTTGTTAGTCACTAACGTAAGCCCGACGCCGCCATGGTACAGTTCATAAGTATATCATTGGTTCCTTGATGCTTCTAGTGTCTAGAAATGTGTGGTTCCTCCCAA